CCGGTGAGACTGTTGGATGATAATCAAGCTAAGTGAAAATGATGATAGCTAGTAAATGAGGATGATAATTCAGATTTAACAAGGATGCTGTCATGAGGCCAAACTAAATTATTGAAGCTCAAATAACTAAGCTATATATGTATATATATAAATATATGCGTGTTTTATTATTGTTGCTGGATGAGATGGATGCTGAAAATTGATTTGAACTTGTTAATTGCTGTTTTGGAAGTTGAAATATGTTGAGAATGCTATTGATGTGAATTTTGCTGATTCGTGTTTCAAATTGGATTATTATATCTGTGGACATTTGAACTATTCTAATGTTTTGAGTTTGTAATTGAAGCAAGAAAAGTGGTGATAAATTTCTATATAATACCTGAAATATTAGATGAGTATTCAGATTGTTAAATATGCTGCTGGTAGATGATAATGACAGCTTTGTGTGTTTGAAGATATTAAAATGGGTGCTGTTCATGAAAGAACTAACATTTAGAAAACTAAAACATATGACTAATTGGCAATTTGAAGAATGATATTAAATTTGGAAAAGTTTGCTGAATAATCTGGAAAATACTTGATGAATGAGAAATGCGCAACGTACTTGAATGAGATGATTATAAAGTTGTATGAATGTGACATAATGGATGTGCCGATACTTGCTCATTGAATTTGAATGTTGGAAATTGATATAAACTTGTTGTAGCTATTACCAATGATAAATGCTACCCGCTATTTATAATGGTTAGAGTGATATGTGATAACTGAAAGTAAGGAATTCTCAATTCTATTAAGAGTAGTAGTCACGATTGCTGCGTGAGAATTGATTATGTTACTCCTACAATCTCATGTTTTGTAATTTAAAGGTTAAGGACATAAAACGGTCACTGTTTTATTAAGAATGACAGTGTGTGAATTATTAAAGGCTTAATATAATGAAGAGAGTAAAAGGCTTAGAGCTAAAGATCCAACAGAAGTTGCTGTTTGGTATTATAAAGATAAAGTTGCTGATATATAGTGTTAAACAAATGCTCAAGTATAGTTGCTGAATTATATGTTTAGATGTTAAACTGTTATTCTTAGCTATGTGAGTGAGATTAAATGTTCAAAACAGATAATAAAGGAAACCGAAATGATTGATGAAACCATCCATGTTTGTGAAATGTATAAGAGTGAATTAGACCTGAGGAACTAATTTGAATTTCCTTTTAAATATCTCTAAATGTCAAGTTAATGTTCTATATAGCTATTTATGATCGAAGAGTATTTGAATGATGATTTAAGTTTGTTGTTTTGTGTTCCTGTATGCTAAGCAATTATTTAAGAAGCATGAAGAGTTAATAACTAAGTTAAATCGTATTGTCTTAGCTAAATCATAATAGAATAAGAAGTTAAGAGAAACATAAGAAAGGGGAAGTGTTAGAAACTTTTAGAAATACGTAGATGAAGTGTAAATTTTGGGCCAAAATGACCAGCTACCTTAAGAGAAGAGAGTACACCTGAGCAGGGGTTATAAAAAGATTTAGCTAGTTATGGGTTAACCAGAATCCCAATTTTAACTCATCCTATATATGTACTTGAAATGTTAGAATTTAATTGGCGTCCTAGCTTACTAAGAAGAAACCAAGAGCAAGGTACTCGCACAGGAGAGCAGGCGGAAGGTAGCTTTCATCATTATTTTATATGTTTTGCTTTGGTTGCATGTCTGTTTGTGCCATAATGCTATAGCTAAGCATGAGAACATGTAAATTGCCATGGCCATGTGCATGCATTTCGCTGTCCAGTATATGCACATTTAATAGCTGCACAGTTATCCAGTTAATCAAATAGCAGCTACACAGTTATTCAGTTAATCAGATAACAGCTGCACAGTTATTCAGTTAATCAGTTAGCAGCTGCTTAGTTATTCAGTTACTCAGTTATGCGCAACAGTTATATGAGATTCAGTTAAATAACAGCGAATATGCCTCAGTTAGTTACTCAGTTCAGTTATTTTGTAAGGCGTTGTTTTCCATGGCTTATTTTGCATGCTCAGTTTTATACCATGCATAATATATGAAATATGATTACTGCTACTGGGATTCTTTGAATCTCACCCCTCCTTTCTATTTAACTATAGGGCCCAGTTCATCCAAAGGAAAAGAGGAGCTGGTGGAAGCTTAGCTAAGTTGGAAGGAAAGAAGAGCTTAGTGTTTAGTTAGTTAATTAATCTGGAATGTTTTTGTGTTTGTTTTCCCCTTCCTTTTGTTATGCTTATATTTCATTTTGTGAGGTTATGTAATTTCCACTTATGGGATGTATGTACCTCTATAAGGAGTAGCGTTTTGGGGGTAACTTAGCATGACTGGGTACTTAGCATACATATATGCATATATTAATGACCTTTCTATAGTATGAATGGTTTAGGATTTACCAAGTATGATTTATTAGAGCTGAAACAGGAAAGTAGAGTTTTCTGTAGAAACATCTGTACAGCTTTGATAAATTGTTGTTGCTATTAGATCACGGTAGTACGATTTCATGTCTTATTATATCATATAAAACTTTCAAAGTTTAAAGTTATAAGTTTTGAGTCAAAGTAGATAAAAAGGTTTTAAAAATACCACCTTTTTAGTGTAAACTCTCAACCATAGTTTTTAAATCTGCTTTCATAAAGGTATATAGAGTGGGATGTTACATGATTCAAATACAAGTCTTCAATTTATATTATTTTTTCTCTCATATTTATTCATTTGGCACTCAGATAATCTCTATAATTATTGTACATGTTAACAACACAGTATTTTGAAAAAAATAATACCCATTTATTATAAATAACTAACTCAACTAATTTTTTTAATACTTGTAAATTAGTTTTTTCTAACTTTTACATTGAGGACCAAATGTAGTACTCCTCCGGTCCTTAATATAAGACCCATTTAACTAATTTGATTAGATTAAGGAAGTTAGGTAAGTTAGTTAATTATAAGAAATGTGACACGTTTTTCCTAAAATACCATAATCATCTTTCTTAATACCCTATCTTCCTCTTCTACTTAATTATGGTTGAAGGAGTATCCATAGGGGTAATTCAGAGAAAATTGATAAATATGAGAAATGGGTCTTATATTTAGGACCAAAACCAACTCAGCAATTGGGTCCTATATTAAGGACCGGAGGAGTATTAAACTAGGATACTACTCGTACCATTTATATAATAGTAAATTAATATTTTCTTATAATTAGACATACCTTTTAATATATTCAACAAAGTTAGAGGTCAATTACATTATTCATCGTCGCTTGAAGATACTATGACTTGTTACAAATTGTACAACTTTATATTGATAATGACCGACTTATCTATAATCCTCTTATATCTTATCTTTAAGTGGGCGCTCTAGGATCTTTTTTAACACAATAAGTTCTACCATCTCATTATAAACGAACATCATTTAAATTTTATTGAAAATACTCCCTCCAATCCAAAATATAAGATATTCCTAACTAATATTCACACCCACCAAAAAATGTTAGCTAAGTCATTAAATATATCTTAAATTGATAAAATTTACCTATTTTACCCCTTATTAGAAAATGTTATAGGAAAATATAATAAAATTGCTTTTTTCAACATGCTTTTATTATCTATATATCACCTTTGTTCTCTCTCTCTTGTATCTAAAACCCTCTCCCCTTTAACAAGGGGTAAAAGTAGAAGATCGTCGTTAAATGTCCTGTTAATTTCTTACATTTTGGATTAAAATTTTCTTCTAGAAGACTTCTCATATTTTGAAATAGATGGAGTATATTTTCAAAATGTGGCAACGTAAAATAAAAAAGGTATGGTCAATAATTTAAAAACTGATGATTAATAATTACATTAAAAAATAGTAAGCATAAGTTGTTCATATATCAAAGGATTTAAGTACTATGTTAGAGAATTAACAAATTAGAAGTAGGGTTAATACGTTGATCTTTACAGCTTAATCAAATTTTGATTTTGATTCCAGTAGTTTCAAATTGTGGTTTCTTCTCCCTAAAATTTCTTTCATCCAAAACATTAGTTCCTATAGTTTTATAGGAACTTGATTTAAGTTTAACGGTATTAACTTTAATTGATGTCATTATGCATAGGATCAAAACTAAAACTTATTAAAAATATAAGGATTAAAGCTAAAACTCATAGGGACTAAAACCAAAATTCAATAAAAGTAGATGGTGTAGTAGAACCAAAACTCATTAAAAAGTAAAAATTTCCCTTTTTAGGGAAAATTGTGAAATTTTCCATTTGGCAAATTTTTTTTGGTCTAGAGGACCTTAATGCAATCATTTTTAATGGGTTTAACTTTTTTCAATTGTATACAACATATCTCTAACTTTGTGTAAATGCTTTCAATATGAAAGTCATTTGCACATAATTAAACATATATTGCGCATAGCTGAAATAGAGTTATTTTAGTTATATTGGATAAAAATGATTGCACCATTTCAAATTGAAAGTGAGAAAACATATCATGTATTCAAATGTTGGAAATTAGATTTTATTTTCTAACATTTGAATTCAAGCTAAAATTCAATGAAATGAAACTACAACAATGCAAAACTAAAATTCGATGAAAGTATAGGTGTTAAAACTAAAATTCGATAAAAGGACTGATAATGGTATTATTCCTTAAAAGTATGATAAAAGCAATACAAAAGCACAATCATCTCACTCTCTGGAGCCATCTATAGTGGGGACATAGAAACTAGGAGTCAAGAATGTGCAGCAAATTAAAGCTAGTAAGAAAAAGATACTGAAAAAGAACAGTGATGAACCGAGCAAGAAATAAATTCCGCAAACACACGAAGAAACATTCTTACTCAATTATTTATTTGAATTTTCTTGATCAATCTGCTCTATATAAGTAGGGTACTCTTTATGTTATTGAAACAACATCCAAGTAAGTTATTTCAAGCCCCAACTACTAGCTGAGCATACAGATTTAGAAGAGCTCATTACCCAAAAAAATCATTGCATGGTTAAGGGTTCAATTCAAGCCAACCCAGCAAGTGAGTCCTTTGAAGCTCAAGCTCACTTGTATAAACACATTTTCAGCCACATTAATGGTGCAATTCTTAAGTGTGCTGTTCAGCTAAGAATTCCAGACATAATCCATAGCCATGGCCAACCCCTTACTATTCCTCAATTAGCCTCCAAACTTGAAGTTCATCCAACTAAAACTGCCTCTATTGAGAGGCTTGTTCGCTTACTGGTGCACAATGGTTTCTTAGCACAAACCAAGGTGAACGAGGAGGAAGAAGAAGAAAAAGAGGCATATTCTCTCACTCCATCTTCTAAACTACTCATCAATGGCTTGGAACCTAACCTAGCACCAATGGTGTTAGGGTGTCTCGACACTGGTCTCATGGCTTCGTTTGATTTTCTGGGAAGGTGGTTTAAAGGGGAGGAGAAGACGATAGTTGAGAGTGCCTTTGGGTTAGGGTTTTGGGATCTGCTCGAACATGATCATCAATATATGAAGTCTTTTAATGAGGGAATGGCTAGTGATTGACAGATGATGAACATGGCACTTAGAGATTGCAAGTCAATCTTCAATGGACTTGAAACCCTGGTTGATGTTGGAGGTGGCACAGGAACCACTCGTAGGATAATCTCTGAGAGATATCCTAATTTGAAGTGCATAGTGTTTGATCTTCCACAAATTGTTGAAAACTCTTCAGGAAGCCATAACTTGAGCTATGTTGGTGGCAGCATGTTTGAATCCATCCCTTCTGCTGATGCTGTTTTGTTGAAAGCAAGTTGTTTTCTTCAATTCTCTTCCTTTTTTAAATAACCCTTTTCCAAACTAATGTAAATCGAATTGGTCATATTAGACCATATAGTTGTAAAATTTTACTAACTAGTTTCTTAAATTCTTTCTGATATCAACGCAACCATTTTCAAAGATAAATTATTTGAAAACGCTCAAAAGCACTTAAAAAAGTGTTTTCACGTAAGTTGAAATAAAACTTCTCTCATATATTTAGTTCCAAGTCTGTAAAATCATTTTCAAAAAGTTAATCCAAACTTTACTAAAAAAAGAAAAGAAAAGAAAAGAAAAAGCTAATCCAAACACCCCATAATCTACCAAGTCATAACACATAGGTGTAAAATTCTGCAATTTCTTAAATTCGTTTTTATCCCAACCCATTTTCAAAAGATATATTGAGTCCCAAACCGGTCAGATCAGAGCAAACATAGGTATAAAGTTATGCAAATCAGATTTTTAATAAATTCTCTTCTTATATATATAATTGCTATAGATTTTAGATTTCATATTAATAATAATGCTTTATATTGACTAATATTTAATTTAATCACCGAACAGAGGGATGTAACATTACCTGTTGTTGATGTTGTGCACTGGATATTACACAACTGGGATGATGAAAGTTCCATAAAGATATTGAACCAATGTAAGGAGGCAATTTCAAAGAAAGATGAAGAAGGAGGAAAAGTGATCATCATTGACGCAGTGCTAAAGGAAAAGGAAGATGACAATGACATGGCACAAGTGAAACTCTTGTTTGACATTTTGATGATGAGTACTCTCAATGGAAAAGAGAGAACTGAGAAAGAATGGAACAAACTTCTTGTCTCTGCAGGCTTCAAACATCATAAGATTACTCCTCTTTTTAGTTTTAGGTCAATCATTGAGGCTTATCCCTAACCATTATCTGTGGTTTGACGAAATTTCTAGGATGAAATTTAATTAGTATTTTAAAATTGTATGTTTTCTGCTACGTACTTCTGTAATAATAATGCCATGCATAGGCTCGCACATTGTAAAACCCCTAACCTCAATACATTATAATCTCATCATAACACCACTACTATGGTAGAAAAGGAAGATTGTTAAAACAAGCTACCATAGTAGAAGGAAAATTTCATATTTTTAGAAATTAACTTTCAAACTCGGGTCAACCCGTAAAACGTTGCACGCAGCTAAAATAATCCATTCATATTCACTGGGCCTCCGAGCCTCTGGCCCGGGTAACAACATACACCCAAAAATCAGCCCATTCAATTGGTTTTCCACCAAGTAAAACAATTCCATAAAACAATAGCAATGGCCTCCGGCCAACCAAAATAGGGAGATACATTCTATTCAGTTTACAACAAGGCCGGGAAATCAAAGATACCAAAAAGCGGTCCTAAATGTGGCAATATAACTACTACTCATACATATACAAATGCTAGAGGCCTAAAGCTAACCCAGCTCAAGCCTCTGCGTCTCTTCCCGAAGGTGCACGCCTAGAACCTTCACCTGAAAATATTGTAAACCACGGGGTGAGACAAAGTCCCAGTAACCAGCCTTTCCAATACTAGGTACTACAAATAGGTGCTCGCGAGGTGTCAAGTGGGGCAGTTCACAAATAATACATAATGATAGCCACAACAATTTATGCAAGTGCAATGATGCAATCCCATCAACCAAATCCCTCACTTTGGGGGATTTTCAGGAGCCGAACCCGGCCTATCCCTCACTATGGGGGACGTAAGGAGCCATAAAGGCCTATCCCTCACTCTGGGGGACGTAATGAGCCCGAAGGCCTATCCCTCACTATGGGGGACGTAAAAGAGCCAACCATCATGCATTAATGGAGGCCTTACCACGTGGTAGTAACTATCAAACTCTCACCAAATTTCCCAATTAATGCATCATGCTCAAATCATAATCAAGAGTAATAATCATTTCACAATTAATCTCATTCGGTGGCATATCTTTCACAATTCCACAATTTCATTCATCATAAATCCAAACCCCACAAGACGGTTTTCCATTTTTATATACAACATATAGTTCGAACACAATTACTATTTGGAGCACAAAACACAGATCTACTCACAATACCACAGAAGCAAGTACTAAGGATTGGAAAGTGGTTACCTCTCGCCTGAGCAAGGAATAACAATCAACAAAGTGGCCCCGTGCACCACCAAGACTCACAACCGGTCTACACAAGCACACAAACACACAACCAACATATATTAGCATTCAAACTAATAATGTGGCCAAAACAACACTTGGGGACACAAAATTCCTATCTCCCATCAAAACTCTACCCAACTCAAGGGGTATAACTATCAAAACAACACTCCAAAGTCCTCAAAGTCTATTAAAACATCAAGTCTCCTTCCAAGCATCAATTATAGTTCAAACCTCAAGGGCCCACTATAGGAATTCAACCTCCAACAACCCATTTGAGCAATTAAGGTCCCAACAACAAATCTAAACCGATTAAACATCCAATTAACCCTCCTTAACATAACCCAATTCACAAAACTCAAAAATCAATCTCTACATTATCATCCTCAATCCCAAATCATCCAATTTCATAAACCCTAACTCCAAAATTCAAGATTCTTTAAATCTAAGAAAACTACACCGATTAAATACTTAAACTAACCCAATGCAATCAATTAAACTCAAAACAATCGGTCAAAAACCTCAATTCCATCACAACCTAGAAAATCCTAGGGTTCCACCAAAAATCCTCATAAATTCCATGGAATTTCAAGAAAGAAAGAAGATTAGAGGTTAAAATCACTTACTTGAGGTAATGGATCCTTAGAAATGCCTTTCTCAAGCCTCCTCCACGAAACCCTAGCAGAGCTTCTCTCTCCTCCTTCAGATTTTCCAATTTTCGCACATCTGAACCCTTCAGCGATTATATAGAATCGCGACCTTTCGCCGCGGCGAACTCCATCTTCGCCGCGGCGAACTAATCCCGAGAGGGATTACTCGCCTGAAAAACCGACTTCGCCGCGGCGAACTTCAATCTTCGCCGCGGCGAAAGCTTCCCGAGAGGAAACTCTCGCTCGCCCAGACAACCTTCGCCGCGGCATACCCTACCTTCGCCGCGGCGAAACCTTCCCGAGAGGGAAGCCTCGCTCACTAGAACAACTTCGCCGCGGCATCCCCAAGACTTCGCCGCGGCCAAACCTTCCCGAGAAGACACTCCCCTCTGAAACCCCCGGTTCGCCGCGGCGAACATACCCTGAGAGGGGTACGTTCACCTATTCCTCCAACCAACCTCAAATCCAACCTAAACACCAAGATCAAGATTAAATCACTAATCTATCCTCAAAATCAACCCAAAAGAGGCTATCAAAACCCGATTAAACTTAGGATGTTACACACATTACCTATATTGGTGATGTGAGAGAGTAATTAAGTGAATAAAGTTTGGTCCAGTTCTTTTAATTATTTGCCATATTTTTATGAGATAAGCACTTACAGTTATTTCATGGACTAATTACATATAAGTCGATCATAATAAGGAAGTTGAAAAGACATTGATCTATATAAGGAAAAGTGAGGTTTCGAGTAAGTTATTGAAACTTCGGTATCCATTAAAAAAATGTTGTTAAGATACGTTTTTATTTCTAAAAGATATAGTGCTTGTTTAGAGGCTTGGAGCTGCTTATTATAAGTGTTTTTATGTAAGTCGAGACAAAACTCCTTTCATATACTTATTCCATACACTACAAATCACAATTGAAATGCTCTTTTTGAATACTTTAACCGCCTATGTTCATGTGAATTTTTGGACTCCAAATATTTTAAACTTGATGTAAGACCACTTGTAACTCTTGGAAGTTGACACATTGTAAAGCAAGCAAGGCTTTTGTAAATTATGTGAGGTTTCTAATAAATTTGTTACGTTCCAAATGTGTTAAACTTTGTGCAGTACTTTTGCAATCAAGCAAGAGTACTTCTTACGATTTCTTCCTATGAATCCAAGTGTTTAAACTTTGTCCAAGACCCCTCGTAAATCATGGAAAGCAATTTTTATAATAAACAAGATCTCGTATAAAATATGCAATAATTTGTCAACTTTTTCCATAGGTAAAGGCTTCAATTACTTTTTCCTCTTTTTTAAAGGCCATGAGGGCATTTCAATCGTTTGAAAATAATAATCGCTAATAATAAACTTGATTCTTTTTAGAAACTAGAATTGACTCCCTTTGAGATAAACAGGAAGAATTTAAAATGTGTCAACCAGTTTCTTGCTTATCACTTTGATAAGCATTCTAAGCTCATCATATTTGAATCGTCTATATTTAATTTGAACAGTCTAAATTTAGAATATTTAATTAATTATTTTTAAATAAAAATATTTTTTTGACAGAATTATAATTAAGATATTATCTTTATTTTAAATTCTATTTATATTAGAATAATTATTTTGAATAAATAAAAATAAAAAATTAAATTAAATTACAACCATCTAAGAAGATTCCCATATGAAAAATTATCGAAAGTAGTTCCAAAAATTTGAGTGAGGAGGGGTCGGCGCATTTAACTGGAAGTATGTGAATAGTGATATCGTGTTGGTTTGTGTGGCGGCCTACACTGTCCTGCTGTGCCCCCCACTTTAATGAACCTAAACCACCCCAAGGACCATCCTCTGTTTCGCTTTGTACGTAGACTTTCTTCCTTATCTTCAACTTCCTAGTTCAACATTGGAACCAGTGGGCAAGTGCCATTGAGTTTTGATGATTACATCCCGAGTTTGGTTAACAACATGAACTTTTGAATAAAAAGGTAGGGGATAAATCTTTTGCTTACACGAAACGCACAAGAAAGCTGCACATCACCAAGTGCCAGGCAAATAAACTTTACCAATTAACACATTGCCTTGCAGATATTACCCAATACCATGCTCAATACCTTTAGCAGTCCAAGGAAGAAAAATGATAGCCTCAAATTTATACTTACAAAAAGGGTAAAAAAAAAATTATAACATTCACATTCTGCTAGATATGAGCACAGTAGATAATAAAAGACTAACCAATGTCAACATGTGTAACAGATGTGGAACACAATAAAGGAAGCATGAAAAGTAAAACAACAAACATTCTGTAGAATTGTTACGAGGCCTTGAAAATGAATTATTGCAATACTCATATTTGCCAAATTACAAAGTAATTTCTTATACCTCCTTTTTAATTCTCTAAATTATGTGTTCTAGAAAAAAGACATTTTTAGTTGATGTTAGTGTCAAGCAAACCGAGGTTGATGCTCTCTAAGTCAAAAATATCTGAGAGACATTAGTTAGGGAGAGTGAGTAGCAAGCAGACCTTAGAAGATAAAAAATATGAGAACATAAAAAGACTAAAAAAAAATCCCACCTTTGAAACCTCTCATCTCATGCTTTTCCTCCTTCCTTGAATTTTTTTGGTCCAAATCGAGCAATTCATACGGGGCAAGATCTCAGAACTGAATCTGACAAAGAAGGAAATTAAAGAGATGAGGAAGAATAGAGAAGAAAAAGCTGAAGAAGGCAAGGAAAGGAAAGAAAGACCTTTCTGATTTATTAGCGATGACAGCACTTTAACTGCCATGCACTCGAATCTACCACACTAATAATAACCACCACACCAACGCCCAACAGTAGCCAACGAGAGGGATCCAGGAGATGAAGTTCTCATAGTGTTTATAAGCAAAGGAAAAGGAGAGGATTGAATTTCAACTAACTTACATGAAATTTTAATTTTCATACTAAAAAAAAAGCCATTGAATTTAGAAATAATGCCATCTAAATTCAGTCATCTCTCCATTTCTATTAGAAAAAATTCTATAGCATAACGGCTTAAAACAAGTACTTCCCAGGCCTTGAACCTTCCCTTTCTACTATTTTAATTTCAAGAAATAAATCATTA